ACGGCCCGCCAGGGTACTTACCCTGGCGGGCCACATGCCAAAGGTTGCCGATCCCTGATCTAGTCTGACCTTGTTCTTCCTCTCTTTGTATGGTAAGAGACACTGCAGCACTGTTGTCTGAAAAGACCTGGCAAAATAGGTGTGTAAGTATCCTGTTTCATCTGTAACACATTGAGAGCTTTCCAGACCAACAGGAACTCCAGCTTGTTTACATATAAATAAAACGGTCTTTGCTAGCTCTCTTGGCAATCAAGAGAGGTTCTCTAGTCTGTCTTTAAGACATCTGTTTGCTGCATTTCAGGAATATATAAGTCTACCAAGAAGTGCAGTTTAATAGCATTAGTTTTTCCCTCCTCTACATCTGAATTAGCCAAGAGATTTGTAACATGCAAACACTGGTTCCCCAGCTGTGTAGGTTTCCTTCCATCCAACAGACACTGGTATCAGAGAAGAGTCATAGAAAAGTCAGGAAGTTGAGCTGAGAGAGATCTCACAAGCCTTTTTAGTTTTCTTTGGATAATGGTGGGAGCACACATCACCTGCTGGCCCAGGTCTGCACAATGCCGAGCATAATGGGACCAAGGAGTACTCAAGAACTAATAATAATCTCTTGAAACATGAAATGTTTAGGATGAGAACCTTAAAATCCACTGTAATTACTAGAAAGTCTCAACAGAGAAGAAATTAGAACGGACTTTTCTGTGCCTACTAAAAACTTCAAGTGGATTATTCCCAAAACAAGAAGCTTTTGAGCCATTCTGTAGTTGTTACGATCAAAATACAATCTAAGTAAATATGCAGTGTTGTTATAGCAGTGTCAGGCACAGGATACTAGAGAGACAAGGTGGATGAGGTAATATCTTTTATTGGAGCAACTTCAGTTGGTGAGAGAGTTGAGCTTTCAAGCTACACAGAACTCTTCTTCAAGTCAGGGAAAGGTATTCAGTGTCACAGCTAAATACAAGATGGAACATATAATTTAGCATAAGTACTTAATGGGCATTCTAAGGGCCCATTCAAGGTGAAGTGGCCACTTCACACTCTGTATACCTTTCCCAGACCTGAAGAAGAGTTCTGTGTAGCGCAAAAGCTTGTCTCTCTCACCAACAGAATTTGTGCCAGTAAAAGAACAGATTTAAGAATTTTATTAAAGTGAATGTTTAAAATTAAATATACACAAGTTAAGAGGGAAGGTACTGTACATCTGGGGTCAGGCTTGGGTTATGAGGGATTACAGGTGTCGGTTGCAAGGGTGAAGAGATACATACATATCACATAACCGGCATAGACCCAGATTGAGATGCAAGAGTTTTTCAAGTGTCAGTGGATAAGTGGGCTCGGGTACGCCACCCATGGAATGTATAAGGAGTCCAAGTCAGTATCGGTGTAGCGAATGAGTAAATGGGTAGGGTGCATCCCTTGGTTCGTCAGGTAGGGTGCATCCCTGGTCGGTGGTCTCAGTTACTCAGTGTGGTATTGGCGGTGTCCTGTGATGTGTTCCGTATAAATGTCTCTGGACCACCTGATGATGTTGGACACCATAAGCTGTCTCATGAGCCGGACGTAGCATCAACCGACTCCGCACACTCTCAGAACCGGCTCATTGTGGGGGTCCCACGAGCCCAGGGCTCCGACAATTAGGGCATGTATCTGGACCTCGTAGTCCTGGGCTCTCAGGGTCTCGGCCAGCAGGGTATACTACGATTCCTTCCGTGCTCGGGCCTCATGGAAGGCTTATTACTCACCCACCTTGTCTATCTAAATAAATTAGCATCCTTATCCGAATGACCTCAGAGAGACTGGTCTCGTTGCCATGGTGAACCACTTTGGGACAATGCATAGAATGAAAACTCTTGTTTCCAACAAGTATTGCACTTCCAGGAAAAACTTAGTTTTGTTTCTGTAATTTGAATGCATGAGAATGAGGAGGAAAGCTTTGCTTAAATCTGTTTTACACCAGTTGACGTTAATCATTAGATCTTTCAAAATGCTCTTCTTAAATGAGTGGCTGCACTCCAAATTATGGTACTGCCAATTGTATTTGCCATTACAATGTATTTACTCCATGCAAACAGGGAAGCAAAGACAGTTTCCTTTAAGCAGCCTTGAAGGGGCATTGGTTAAAGTAGTATCACAGCTAAAGTCTAAGCATTAGTAGCCATTACCTCAGAGGACAGAGACAGATTTCAAAACATACTGAAATTAATCATTTTATAAAGCATGCAAATTAAGGACAGTGAATTACTGAGGACCACCAGTGCCTGTTCCCTTATAACCATGGGAAATAGATGCTGCAGAAACACCCACCCTACTTTTAAAAGATGATACTCCAGAGAAAGATCAAAAAGCACCAAGTATCTAACTAAGATATCCTATTCTATTCAGTTTCTCATACTGCACTTATCAGTTTGGCATCCATCCAACTCATCATTGCATTCATCCAACAATGCATTAGCTGCATAACTAGCATCTGTAATGGAAGATATCCTCCATTTAACAATTACTTCAACGTTGTGCACGTCAAGAAGAAACACCCTGGAATCTCATGCCATTCAACCCATCTGACGTCAATGGAATTGCATGGTACTTAAGCCAGTACAGAATTTATCCCAAAGCATACTTTTCAAATAAAAATTAGCATTCCCACTTGAATACTTTCACTTAATTTTCTGCTTTCTTTTGAAAACTTAGTTTTTTTAAAAGTATCAGAAAATGTATCATTAAACCCCGTATAAATTATTTGTCAACAGAACCTTGTCCGACAGACAACAGGAACATGAAGTTCAGAACATTAATTACTTCACTTAATGTGCTTTTAAAGAAAATATATATTTCTGATGCTACCAGTAATATTTATTATGCATATTGTTATAAAATTGTCAACAAACTTTTATGGCTTTCCTCTTCATATGAATACTTAGTCATCCATTCGTTCCTCGATCCACTTCAATCCTGAAAAAAAAAATCAATAATTCTGAATTAATTAGGAAATGGGCACTGAGCAGATGTAACTTCTTCAATGTTTTTCATAGATTCATAGATTCTAGGACTGGAAGGGACCTTGAGAGGTCATCGAGTCCAGTCCCCTGCCCGCATGG